CCCCAAAACCCCAAAACCCCAAAACCCCAAAACCCCAGCTTTTGATCTTAATAATAAGGATAGAATAAATTTAATTTATCAAGTGATTTAATCAGTTAAATAGTTCCTCGACATCAAATGTACCCTCAATGGGAGTAGGGATGAACCACCAAATAGAGAATGGCCCCCCGAAGGTGACTTTGTAATTCTTACATCCTCTTTTCTTGTATTGGGTAAGCCTATTATCATATAATCTCACTTTATCAATAACTGTTAATCTGTTCAAGATGATTGAAATCTGATCGAAGAACACAACAATAATAAATAATCCAAAAGTAATGCACTCAAAAATACATAAAACTTATAAGAAATCACTTAATTACATTTTGATCTTCTAATTTGCTCCATAGATTGTGGAGTGATTTCTAAGCTTATAAAAGCCATCTGTAATCAACAAGCTTAAAATGTAAATGATAGAAATCAAGGTATAGAAGTTGAAGAGCACAAATAGTTTTTGAGTATACAAGCCAACGCAATTATTAATCCACGGACAGTGATGGTCCATATATGCAACACAGTGATTGCAATTTGCACAGTGATGAGCATTCGGTGGTTTTACTGAGTTGCATTTGTAGCATTTCTTCTCGATAATTTTGTCTACATAGGTGTTTCTTCTTACCTTGAGGCTTGACGACAAGGCTGAACTTAAATTTGATGAAGTTCTGTTAGCCTCGAATACTCTCCTATAGAAATTACCTTCGCTCTCTCCTAAATCTGATAATTATTTAATTTCATACCTCTTTTATTGTCAGTTCCCTATGTATTATTATATGTCTCATCAATGTTATCCTAATCATTTATTTAAAATCCTAATGTCTATAAATCATTATAGAATTTCATTTTGATTATTACACTTACTTTCCCATTATTCGGCAACTTTTCTTGAATATCTAAGGAAGATTATCTCAAAGCTACCTATTGTGCTTCAGTTTCTTCCATTCCTTGTCTTTACAACTTTCTAATCAGAGCACTATAATACTAGATATTTATAAAACATTCATACCTTTGATGAATACTTTCTCTTTCTTAGATAAGCTTTAAAAATCTATTCGAAAGATTTTTTTCTGATAGAGAATCATAGTTTTTAGGCAGGAATCCGGGATTTGTTGTCATACATCTGAAGTGTGAAACTACTGACAATACAACAAAAAATGTTAGGAAAAAGCCATTTACTATAGCACCTGCTTCAGCATTTTATATCTTATCTCCAAGAGTATGAACCATTGTAAACAAGTAGATCTTTGTCATCAAAGCATATACCAAAATTATAATGACGACACCCAACTTATCTCTCTTATTAAAATGCTAAGCAGGTAGGGGCCTTATATGACCGTCTACAGTGTTAATTTTAGTTTAAATATTGATTTGATGTGCCAACTCATCTGAAACCTAATTTTAAGAAATCAGTAGCTATTCCTCCTGTTCCATATTTTCTAATTAAATTATTATTGCATACATCACTCACTTTTAATTCATTAAGAGGGGTTTTGGGGTTTTGGGGTTTTGGGG